CTCTGCTCAGAATCTAAAAAAAAATATATATAATATTATACACAAGCGGATGTATCTAATTGCCATTACRAATTGTTATTGAGAGGATTTATACCGATAATTACCAGCAGTGGTAAAAACAAGTGCACGCAAATCAAACAAAATAGTATAAAAAAGTAATTTGAGAGTAAAAAGAGTCGTTACATGTTATAATTGAATCAATATTTAAGAGACGTGACCCCATTATAGCGTTTTTGAAAATAAAGTATTGTTGTGCCTTTTGTACCTAACGAGAAGTAAATTATTTAGAATAATACAATATACGGTTTTCTCTAAAATAATATATTTTTTTTTTGTATAAATGTTTTTAAAAGTTCTCAGTTTTTACTCTAAAAACACATTTTAATGGATTTTCGTTTTTTTTTTTTTGCGTACCTACCTAAACATAATATTTAATTAWCATCGTAAGATTTATTTATGTCACCGCTGAGTTCACGAGATGATAGTAAACTATGACATTCGGAATTGTGACTGCGTTAATATCTTGATAAATACACATATTAGGCATATAAATGTTGAAGGTTTGAGTATCGCATACGATTGTTTTATCATACAATTATATGACTTATTTAATAGGGTTTAAAGATAACTTTAAAATTCTATATTTTGAACATCATAATAGATTTTTTCATTGATCCTCCCCYATACAAAAATATATATCAGTCACTGCCTTGAACTACATATAAAGTATAATATACACTTTTTTACATACACAAAAATTACAAAAAAAAATATGTCAAAAATGTAATTATAACTCAATAACTCGACTATATTTATTGACATAGAAAGTTAGTTTGACAATTAAAATACAATAAAAAATTAGAGTAAAAATAATAAATCAAAAAAGGTGGGGTTGGAATTTAGGAAAAAAAGTTGTTATGCGCATGCGCGAAATGAAATGGCAAAAAATAGTTTAATTAGCTTAATAAGCTATAACAAAGTCTTTACTTTTAAGCACCAACAACAAACAGAATTCAAATAAATTTAATATTTTTTAAAGTTATAATGTTTCCAATTTTTGATTATACGCTGTATAATGATTATATCATACTAAAAACTATATTTTATAGCTTTTGATAAAGAGCATACCTATTGTGTTTATAATTAT